TCATCTAGACCAACTATAACAGTATACAAAAATGTTTTGCAGCTTCCAAAACTGTGACCTACAGGAGTATGATAATATCTGCAGAATAAATAAAAGACTGCTGCATTTTGAAAGAAGCCAGATGAAAAAGAACACATACTATGTGATTCCATTTATCTAAAGCTCTAAACAATACAAGCAAATTTACCGTGACATTGAAAGCAAGGTTTGCTCAGGTATGGGAGTCCAAAAAGGGCAAGATGTCACAAAGTGACACAGGGACATTTTTGAGGTAACTGATATGCATCTGTGAAATCAGTAGCCATGAGAGTGTACATATCTATCCATCAAAACTTACCAAATTATACACTTCAAATACAGTATATGCAATATATTATATATTTTTTTAAATGAAAATACACAAGAAATCTATGGCATTTTAAATAAAATATGAACTCTTGGGTTTGCTTCAAATAATCCAGGGAAGAAGAAATGGAGGTGAAACAAGATTGGGCATCAGTTGATAATTATTAAAGCTGGGCATTAAAATAGGATTTTAATATACTATTTTTTCTAGTTGTGTATGCTGGGAATATTCTTCTTTATTTATATTTTTATTTTTATTAATACCTGTTTTCTGTACATATGATTACATTTGTTATGGGGAGTTGACACATGTACATAACACATCGTAATTCTTTTTTTATAGAGATATTTGATTGCATCACTAAAATGTCACAAATTTGTCTTATAATCCAAAAGCTTGTTTCTGTGGCTGGATAACTGTCGAATCTTATCCATCAGGTTGCTGAACTGTTCTCTTTTCAGAAACAAAGATACCATCCAAAATTTTCTGATATCCTTGTTTTTTACTGTTATGCCTTGCTGAATCAAAGCAGCTAAAATTTCAAACAAGCTCAAGGATTAGTTTATCTTTCTGGGGCTTGAAATACTGAGCAAGCAACACCTGCCCTCATATGAACTTGGCAGATATATTTTTCACCCCCAAAATTCTGGATTTTGACAAGAGAACCATTCTTCCGAACAACAAGGTTGATGGGGAAGTGAGCAAAAACAGACCTCATCTTGTCACTGAAGCCCAGCGTAAGACCCTTGATCATGTTCTGTATGTGACTGCAGATTGAATGGCAGCTGTTTGTTTCCCTACCATTTGTCAACCCGGAGCCTCTTCTTTTTCTTTCCAAGGAGTCTGAGTTCTACACTGGTGTGGTTGAAGTCCTTCTGCAGGGTTCCTCCGGGGCTTCTCACAATAACTGTGCATCCCTCCCTTCAGAGTGATATCGACATTTTCTATAACACTGACAGTCTGATTGCTGAGAATGGTCTTCATTCTCACATGAGATACAGCAAAGAGCCTTAATTCTTTTTACAGCCCATTCCCCTCACCACCTTTCCACCTCCCTCTACTCTTAGCTCCCTTTTCATTTCCAAAAGATCTATCTCCCTGTTTCCCATGATCTACCTTTTATTTTGCAGGAATTTTTAAAATCGCAAAATGTTTTTAAAATTAAAAATACAAAATCATCAACCAGGATAAATGAAAAAAAAAAAAAAAAAAGACTACACCTGCCAGAGCTCCAAAGTGCTAGGAAGCAAAATCTACTTTAGAAGTTTAAAGTGCAGGGGAATTCAGAGTTTAAAGGACAGATTTTATTCTCCACTCTATAACCTTGAGAAGTGTACTTGTTCTTTTGAGAGTGCAGTTGTCCTTGCCATCGTTGGCTAAAAGCTGGGCTCCCAGGACATCTGACTTAGAAGCAGCCTTCAACTGGCACATTACATGAGCTCCCATAGGCATGGTTCCAGCAGCATGAAGCTCAGGATAACAGAAAAATCATCTCACTGTCTATGAAGGACTCTCTGCATGGTGAAATGGCAACGTGGTTAAGTCACTGGGTAATACAGCAACAGCCAACTCAAAAAAACCCTAACAGGAGCAGCATTTGTACCATCACAGATACAGCCTCTGTTCACATGCCTCTAAAAGGAGTCTCTTTTCAACACTTCCACTGTCTTTAAAAAGTTCTCTCCATTTTAAAGAAAAGTATTCACACCAGAATTTAAATGAGGACAACTCTGTCATTTACTCTATCTGACATTTACTAAAAGTAAACTAACCCTCTCATCTAATCTGATCCTCAGACAACTAGCTCATGGCAGGTCAGGAGGGAATGGTCATCACACCATGGCACCTTCAGCTTATCACACTTCTACGCTTAACCTGATTAACTCTCTCTAGGCTTAGTAGCATCTCTAACCAAGGTATACATGTGAAAAAACAGTAAAACATCTCAATACTTCACTTTTTTTTTTACCCAATGTTAAATATGACAAAGAATTTTAGTAGTGGAAAGATAAAAACATTATTTCAAATAAAGCTTTCTAAATATTGTGGAATTTTACTTATGCCCAAGGGCAGTGGTAGCGGACCCATGGCACATGTGCCAGAGCCTCAGCAGGCTGTTCATAGCATTTAAAGCTCTAAAAGGTTCACTATAACTGCCCTAAGACAAGAACCAACAAAGAAAGGGCGGCAGTTAACTTTAGTTATTGCACGAGAAGAGGAAAAAGGAAGGAGACACCCAAAGAAAGGTCAAAGATAGAAAGGGAGATCAATCTGGAAAGATAAGCACATTAAAAACACAAAACAAATTAAGAAGAACCACCACCACCACCACCACCCCCCGCCCCCACAATATTTTCTCTGTAAAACCAGCTTGTCCTGTCACGGTGATTACCCTGTTAGCAAAATGAATGAAAACAGCCATTTCCTCAGTGCTACTTGTTTCACCCACGCTGGGTTAAAAAGGAAGAGAATTTTCAAACTGTATTAAATATGCTCAAGCCACAGTGGCTCTCCGCTTTCCAATAAACTACATTCCTTTCATACCCCAAGATCTGTGTAATAATTCTTGCTTCTAAAGTAATGCATAAAACTTGATATTTAAAATACAATTCTGATTGTAGAATAGCATATAAAAATAATAGTGGTTCATATTTACCAGGCATATATTCTACCTGGGTGCTTTTTAAATGTTTTTAATCTGAAAAAAAAAAAAACTTTTGATGTAGGTTCTACTATTGGTTAGGCAACCATATAATTTATTATTCAAATAAGGAAACTTTAAGAAGCAAAAGGGGAAGGGCCAGGGATTTAGCTCAGTGGTTCCACTGCCTGCCTCACATGCACAAGAACCCGAGTTTGATCCCTGGTACCAACCCCCACAAAATAACCTATTTGGGGCCAGGGATTTAGCTCAGTGGTTCTGCCACCTGCTTCACAAGCGTAAGGTCCCAAGTTCAATCCCTGGTACTAAAAAAAGTGAAAGGGGGAGCTATTAACAACTGTGCTGGGCAAAGGCAAAAACCAAGAACGTTTGGACCCCCAGTCCATAATCAGCTGGCACCAAGGCAGGATGGCAGAGGGAAAACAGAAGACAGCAAAAGCAACAAGAGACCTTAACAGTGCCTTTCCTTTTATCTTATCCCGACTACCATTATTATGGCAGTGTACTAGTTTAGTAATCACATGCCCTTAATCTCAACATCATACGCTCTAGCTTCGGTCAGCTGTGTAAAAGCCACCTGTGACTGCACGAGGCTCTGGGGGGACATCTAGAAACAAGACATAACAGTGTGTTTTCCTCAGTGTACTTCTTTTGACATATAGCATCTTGCTTATTTCACTTAGGAATAAAAACCCCACCAAAAGCAGCAACACCTTAAACAGACATCCATACTGAGACAGATGCCACAGGTGTCTCTGGTGGTTTTACTGGCTCAAACCCAACAGGGTTTTTATATTTCTCTTAACACAAAAGCAACTGTTCCACTTCAAAGACATGCTCAGTAAAGTTTTGTCATCTCTTATGTATTACTCAAATGGCTTCCAAAATTTTTCATGGAAAAATCACACCCCAGAAATAATAAAGTGATAAATGCACAGAGGTAAACATTTTTTCCTCTCATTAAAAAATAAATTATAGTTACCATAAAACCTCAAGGCTGGAAATATCAAATAGAAGGCATATATAGATATATTGATATTTGTAAGCATGCTATTTAACACATCATATTAATATATATTTCACATTATCCTTTTTTTTTTTTTTTTTTTTTTTTGTTTGGGGGTTTATTGAACTTGGGTCCTTGCACTTGCAAGGCAGGCCACCGAACCGCTGAGCTAAATCCCCGGCCCATATTATCCCTTTCTTGAGTTCTCCAATGTCAAAGTGACATCAGTGGAGGGCAAAAGTCCTTTGCCCTTACTATTCTACCTGTCCTCAAGCAACAAGACTTGCCTCACCACTCAGTGAGTGTCTCCATCAAATAGTTCACCAGACAAGCGGAATATAACACTTTTCTCCCTTAATCTCTGCAGCCTATGGTAACTCTAGGAGTTAGGGTCAGAACTAAATTGAACTGCTGAACACTCAGTGGTACTGGACAACTGGAGAACTGATGTGGAAAAATGATATGTATTTCATGTCAAAGAAAATCCCACACATTAGGTGTCAGATGTGTTATCAGAAAAACAGTGAAATTATTAGCACTTACCTCTTCATGACAGATTATAAATTTATTTCTCCCACTAGAAGGCAGGCACCTTATAAAATAAAATGGTGCAGTATTGCCACATGATCTATATATTTCCTCCTTTTTACTTTAATCTTCTCCAGGTTTCTTAGAACACCTAATATAATGTAATGCTATTTTAAGTCATCACTATATAACAATAGGGAAAGAAAAAGTGTGTGTATGTTCAGGGCAGATACATTTTTTTTCCAAATATTTTCAACCTGCAGTTGGTGAAATTCTCAGATGCAGAGCTCATGAATACGAAGGGTGAACTACGTACACTCACACAACAAATGACATGTGGGTATAGCTGGAGCCACACTAAAAATCACATATCCACATTTAAAAAATTACAGTATAACCTGATCAGGAGTAAAAAGATAATGTAACTGCTCCATTTTTTTCTTCTGGTTTATTTCCAGATCCTGAGGCAAAGAACAAATGAGTCACACTGTGGCATGGGAAGCCACTACAGGTAATGGAACTATAGGAATGGAAAATGACACTATTGTACTTTATAATTCATTAACAAATTTTGTACCAGATAAAAATAAATAAAAACAGTTTGCCAAACAATAACTTCTCAGAGTGATTTAATGCAAGTGAGAAACAAAGGCAGGAAGGACAAGAAACTGATTTAAAATCTTAAGATCTTTCAAAATGTAGGCATAATTCACTGCCTCCCACTTGCTTTTGGAAGAAGCCACTGGATGACACAGCAATCTACATCTCTTAAATTATCTTTCATATTTATAATACTTCTTGAATTTCCTCATCTAACATATGTCATTTATGATAAAATACTATTACAAGGAAGTAAGTAGCCTTTATATTTTATATTTGAAAAATATCTAGAGTTTAGTAAACATTAACAAGGCTGGGGATCAGAAGAGCCAGGATTAAATCCTAACTGCAAATAAAGCTCAAAATATGGGGCAAAGTCAAACCTCTCCATTCCATGAATCCCCATATGAAAAGTGTTACCCCACAGGCCTCCTTTCACATAACAGTGAAGATGAGTGATGCTGAAGATGAGAGGGTGAGTGCACACACACCTGGGTACACATACGCTAGAAAAACACTAAACAATTTAGGGGGAAAACCTCCCTAAGTACAAAGCATAACCACTGACTTCACTCACAAAAATACTTGGTAGTCTGGGGAAAGGTCCGGAGTAAACAACAAGGATGTACAGTTGAGGCACAACTCTTCATTTAACCCAAAATACATTTTATACTAATAATCTTTAAAGCAAGAATGGAGGTGGCCTTGAGGGATCATCTTTAAATTGAAGGGCACCACTCTTTTCCTTCCCAATTTATAACAGTTCCATCTCTGGTTGACACGTGCTATGTGAAAACTGTTCATGAATACAGATACATAGATAGATTGCTATACGTGAAAAACTGCAAAGAATTTTTCTGTGGGTCAGAATACACACATATGTTAATCTCTGCTGACTGCCAAGAGTAGGAGATAGAGCCTTAGCTGAAAATGTGAAGCAGATATTAGGAGGTGAGATACTGTGGGAGTGTTAGGAGATTAACTATAACACTAAAAAAAAAAAAAAAAAAAAAAAAAACAAACACAAACGGGG